TCCATTGCAATTACTTGTAATTGTATTATTACCAAGCCTGGTAAGGATCCTGCATTTCAGATTACTTATACCACTACTTGAACATATTTTATTTCTAGAAAAAAACACAATTTTATATTATTGATCTTGAGATTTTATCTCCAAATTTCTTAAACAACCCTCCAACAGCTTATTGTCTTAACTATATACAATTTTTGTCTTTATACTTTAAGTGTATTTTTGTATTTCGTTACACTTAGATAGATTTGATTTGTCTATGAGTGTATGTGTAATAAATGTTAGAATGTATGCACGTTTACATGTATGTATATTTGCTATAATATAAAATAAAGTTACTAATCTTTAAATGAAATGATAAATGTTCCATACACTTCAACTCTGCGTAAAGATTTAAGATGGAACAAAATCAACAGCATAAAATAACAAATAAATGTGGAGTGAAAAAAAGAGGAAATGTTTGAATTGTCTGTGACATGTTAAAGATAATTTTTGTGGGATTTTTTACGATTAGTTCTATTTTTTTTTTTTTTGCTCTTTCTTGTCATTTTCATTTTTATTATACCATAAGAGGTTTTTAGTATTGCATAGAAATCCTATTTTTTCTAATCTTCCTCCCCAAGACATAAAAATAAATGTCAATTCCTTAACAACCAAAAACAATTTAATTTAATTAGTTTTATTTGCTTTTGCCACAATTTGTTTGATATCTTTTTTAATATCAAGACAAACGAAGGCATACAAAAAGATAATTACTTTATATTTTATCTCTTAAGCAAAAACAATTTTATAAAAAAAAAAAAACATTAATTCTTGATCCTGTTAATGATTTTTTATTTTTCAATTCTTAAGTCTTTTGTCATTTTATTACAAGTAATATTAACAATTAATGTAATACACTCCCTCTCAAGCGTAGAAAATAAGTAATGGAAAAAACATTAAATAAATTAATCACTTTGTTATAAATTATTATAGTCATATAAATTATCATTGTATTTCCTTATAAAAGGAAATAATTAATATCACTCATACGCAGTGTTATTCACCAACAATTCATTCATTCACTCATTCATTTATTTATTCATTCATTAGCTTACACACTTACACACACACACAAGAAAATTTATTTATACACAGACTGACTGGCAAGTAATTTAAGAGAGATACAAAAACAATAATAACAAGAGCAAAAAAAAAATCATAAAATAAAAACAACAACAACTATCATGAATATAAATCTTTAGATGGTGTGTTGTGGTTTATTGAATAGAGAGTATGTCTGTAACAGATTAATTAAAGGAAACTATATTATCTCTGTCTGTCTATACATAAGCCAGAGAAAAAGGACCCAAAACATACAAATATATGTAATACGTACATATAGTGTGTGAGGATTATTTATATCTGTCATATTTGCTCGGTCTGCTGTATTAAAGCCAATTAATTATAGTTTTAAAAAATGTTTTATTTTTTGCTAACAAAAATTTAAGTAAAATAGCTACATATTTGTTATTTTTAAACAGACTTTTGTTATTTTCTTAAACAATTCATTTTTGTTTTATTAAGACTTTTGTTAAGACTTTTATCTGCTGCTAAGTAAGTAAAGTGATTAGTTTTTCTTTTCATAAATGTTTTTCTCTTTTTAAAATATGTATATAAATAAATTTTATTTTAAACATGTTTAATACAGCCATAAATTTGTGAAACAAAAAAAAAAAAAAAACATCATTACATAATTAGTTTTTAAGTTTATAAATAACAAGCTATTGTACTTGTTGATAAAATAATCTTTGAGGTAAAATGTCTAATAAAATGCAAACTGTTGGTTAGACAAAAAAAATTATAAAATTTTCTTAATGAATGTCTCATAAACCAAATTAAAATAAATGACTATTTTCAGAATTTTTAAATATTGTGATAACTGATTTAATAAATTTAATAATCTGTTTAAGATATATAAGTCAACTATTACAAACTACAGACTTTCATTGTTATTATTACTGTTATTAAACTTTTGTTTTTATGACAAATTTTTACCCTACAACACGTCTGAGAAATTCTGAATAAAAGCACTTGTCTTCAAATGATTTATTAAAAAACATACTGTTATTTCTTCTATTGTCTGCACTGTACATCATGGTAATTAAACTTTCTGTTAGGTTTAGGTTTAGAAAGGTTATGTACCATAAAAATATACAAATCCACTCGTAGACCATAAGGACGATCGTGATTCCCTTCAAAGAGTGAAGGTTCAAAATTAGAGAAACAAAAAACACTACAAGAAAACCCAGAAAGAAAAAAGAAGATAGGGAACAGGATAGAAATAATAATCAAGTGCCCTAAAGACTGAAGAGATGAGAGAGAAAATCTTTGTCTCCCTATAAAGCCCAGTAGAAGAAGTGACTAATTCCCTTGACAAAACCTAGTAAACTGAGAGGGTCAAGAACCACAATATCCCCCATTTCGTCATGGTACCTATTCTCTAGCCATTTCAGCCTGAGATCCTGTATCCTAGGAGAGTATGCTCGATCGACTCTATTTTCCTCCTCATCCTCGCATCCGACCTGCAATAGTCCACTTACTGACAAAGGCCTTATCTGAGCAGTGTCCCGTTAGCATCCCTATCAGAATACTTAGACTGCATCTATCCAGTCCTATAAGTATTTTGGTAGCAACCATATCAAGTTTTGGCCATAGGGCCTTTCTCCGATCTACTATTCCAGGACTGGTTTATGATGTCACGGAATCTTTCGAATATCAACCTATATTACAAATAGCTAGTTTTACCATCCCTTCGTCCGCAATCTCATTACCATGCACATTGCAGTGCCCCAGCACTCAACACAGTCTAATGACAAACAGTCTCACAATGTCCCTAAGGGCATAACTACAATCTACAACCAGGCGCGAATGTACCGTAAGAAAAGGCAATGCTTTGAGAGCAGCTTGACTATCAACATACTATAAATTGTCATAACTGACCCCGGATCGATATGATTCCGTATCAGTTCTGTTGCTTTCCAGATTGCTAGGATCTCTGCTTGGAAGATACTACATTTGTCAGGGAGTCTGAAGGACCGTTTTATGTTGATATCAGCGATATAGACACCGGCACCCGTGCCGTTCACCATCTTGGACCCATCAGTGAAAACTGCACGCCCATCAAACTACTTTTTGTTACTATGACGAAAATCTAGTTTAAATTACTTAGCAGGGAAATAAGTTATATAAACGTAGTCTTCTTATACATTCTATACTTAATGTGTGCCCTGTACGTTATAGTAATTAAACTTTTTGTTACTATGACGAAATGAGTTTGCAGGGAAATTAATTTCATAACTTATATAAACGTAGTCTTCTTATATATTCTACACTTAAACCTTATTCTACACTTAGCTTATTCTTCTATTGTATTCACTGTACGTTATAGTAATTAAACTTTTTGTTACTATGACGAAAATCTAGTTTAAATGTAATGTAACTTAAAAAAAAAGTATATATATAAGTAAAAGTATTCTACTTATATATTCTACACTTAAACCTTATTCTACACTAAATTAAAATGTTTGTTACTATGACGAAAATTTTGTTTAAATGAGTTTGCAGAGAAATTAGTTTCATAACTTATATAAACGTAGTCTTCTTATATATTCTACACATAAACCTTATTATACACTTATATAGGTTATTATTCTATTGTATTCACTGTACGTTATAGTAATTACACTTTTTGTTACTATGACGAAAATCTAGTTTAAATGAGTTAACAGGGAAATTAGTTTAATAACTTATATAAACGTTAGCTTACTCTTCTATTGTATTCACTGTACGCAATTAAACTTTTTGTCACTATGACGAAAATCTAGTTTAAATGAGTATTAGTTTAATAACTTATATAAACGTAGTCTTATTATATATTCTACACTTAAATCTTATTCTACACTTAAATCTTATTCTACACTTAAATAGCTTATTCTATTATTGTCTCCACTGTACATCATAGTAGTTAAACTTTTTGTTACTATGACGAAAATCTAATTTAAATGAGTTAGCAGGGAAATTAGTTTCATAACTTATATAAACGTAGACTTATAAATTCTACACCTAAACCTTATTCTACACTTAGCTTACTCTTCTATTGTATTCCCTATACGTAATTAAACTTTTTGTCACTATAACGAAAATCTAGCTTAAATGAGTAGGCATTTATTTTACACTTAAACCTTTTAAAACGTATTTGTATTTATTTATATACAAAACCAAAATCTCTTGATATTCTTTAACATACTTTTAAATATTATATTAATAATAATAATCGAAAATCCCTATGACATTAGTAAGCATATTTCCTGATTGACATAAAACAATTTCTCTAAAGCCAGCAAGCAGCACATACAAAATTATTTACAATTTTCCACAGTCACATGCCAAGTAAAAATCAGTCAGTAAGTCTACCTTGGCAAAAAGTGATTTTATTTATAGCTTGTTAATGTTGATTTGTAGTTGAATTTCATAATAAAAAAATTGTATACCAAAGAATTATTTGTTAATCTGTCACGTTTTTTAAATACAACGCGAAAATATTTTCAAAAATTCAATAAATAATAACCGACAAAAAAAACAACTGTAAAACTCATATACCTGACTAAAACCTTACATAAATAAAGTTTAACATTTGAGACAGCAGCTCAAAATATAAAGACTAAAGATTTGTAAGCCAACCACGTAGCTATGGTACACAGAAGTCTAAGGTAGTAAAATGTGTACTTTTTTTCTCTTGATTAGAAAAAATTGTAGACAAAAGATTTATTGATAGCTATCATTAAATAATTTGACATTTGGTAATATGTGCAGTAGATTGTGTTATAAAAATTATTAATGAAAATTGTTTAGAAAGTTTTTTTTTTATGGCTTAAATTGTGTTTATCACAATCTAGGAAAACAATTTCATAGTTGATTGAAAAACTAGAGAAAAAAATCATTTTTTAAGAAAGAAAACTTACCTATCGTAGTTATTAAAGTCAGTGAATATAAAAATGCTGAAGCATAAGTCCATTTATGAGTGGGCGGATTCATTTGAACTCCAGGCTGATGAATTTTTGATTGACGCACTGAACGTAATAAAGTATCCTAAACAATAACAAAAAAAAGAATGAGAAATAAGAATAGAATAGAAATAGATAAAGCCAAACAGAATGAGCACCAAACCAGCAGCACAACAAACAGAATATAAATTCAATTTTAAATGCATCGCAAAACGGAAATAAAAATCATCAATATCACGTACTAGATAACTCAAAATGTTTGTATTAAAAAAAAAAAAACTACATACATGTTGAAAGTATATCTTTAGTATATGTAGTGCTGTTGGTTGTGTGGGTGGTGAGTGCATGAGTTTTTAATATAACTAAAACCAAAACTAACCTGAAAATGTTGCACTTCCTGAGCAGCCAAACGTGTCCAATTCTCTTTGTATAATATATTCAAATCTTCAGTAATCGACCACAAACGATCAACCGTTCTAAAAATACAGAAATGAAAAAAAAATATATATTGTATATAAAGCAAACAATAATGCATTTATAGATACTTGTATATATAGATACAGATATATAATACAGATACACAAATTGTGGCTTTAGGTTTTTTTTAGTTTTTTCTATTGCAATTCATTGTTTGTTTTTCGTTTTTTGCTTGCAATTGTTTGCAATATATAAATATAAACGTAAGAAAGATATAAATAAATTTAAATTCAAATTTGAGTGCAATCAAATGTAAATTCAAATACATACATATAACAACAACAATATGGCAAAATAATGAGTTTTTTTTTTGTGTTTCTCCCCTTACTACAATACTTTTAAAATATTACAAATTCTTAAACAAATATGCAAAATGCTCTTTAACAAATCAAATTTGCACAATTTTTAAAAAATTGACTTTTAAATTTGTGTTTTATAAGTAAATAATTTCAGTAAATATTAGTTAAATTTTATCTTTGAATGCACAAAGAAAAAAATTTACATAACAAATTAAAAGTTATTTAGTATAAATATTTAATCAGCATGATTGTTGACTTTGTACACCTTCATTTTTCAAAATATATGAAATATATAAAAAAAAAAATTAAAATTCAAACTAAAAGTCATCATCATATAGAACAGATTTGATTGGAATATTTATAAAACCATAAGAGAGGGAAACCAGATAAAACCAGTTTGAATATTGCGGTAGAGTTTATGTATAAAAATATAAAATAAAAATTTGCAATTTGTGGGTGTGTGGGTGAGTGAGTGGGAGTTTAAAAGTAATGGCATTATGCAAATAGTTAACATAACATGGACATATTTAGTCAATGTTTTTGAATACACACAAATTTATATATTGTCTATAATAAAGAATTATATTTAGCATACCCTACAAGGGACCTGTGTTAGCAGAGAAAAAAGTAAATAAATTAGATTTTTTGGTTTAGTCAAATTATTAATTAGAGGTAGACAAAAAATAGGGTAAAAATAACAAAAATATAAAAACTTTATAGACTTTGCTTTAAAAAGGTGGTACTTGAGAATAACAGCAATGAACTTGGAAAGCAAATAGCTTTAAAAAGCAACTGCAAAGTGTGGAAGACATTAAAAGAAGTTTGAAGTACTTCTAACAGGATTAGAGAGCAATAAACTTAAAAAAGACTATTTTGGAAAAACATCAAAAGATGATTGAAGTATGTATTTGTTAAACAAAACTAATGTTTGTGAACTAAATTGTAAGTTACAAACTATCATTTAATAATAACTGTAGGGTATTAACAATTCAATAAGCATGTCAAAAAGAATTTGTGTATTTATTTGTATAGGAAAATGTTCAATTGTTTCTGAATGTGTAATCAAAAGTACACACATACAATATGTATATAAAATCAGTAAATGTATATCCATGTATATGTATTGGTATGCAAATAGTTGTGTCATATGAATTTAAATGTACTCTCGTATTTAACTTAAATGTTTATATTGTTTAGTAATGCAAATTTATTGCACATTTTGTTGCTGTTATTATTATTGTTTTCTCTTGTTTTATTAAACAAATATACACATACACACACACACATACATACATAACCAACAGCAGCAGCTTTACAAATGTAAATAACAAAATGCAAAAGAAAACACATGATGAAATCAGGAATACAAATATTCTTGCAACAAAACCTAAGAAATATTGCAAAAAACAAAAAAGACAACACAAGTCAATGTTGAAAAGCAAATGAACAAAAAATGAAATAAATCTTCTTCAAAGTTACTTCCTTATGGAACTAAAAAAAAACATTTACAATTTTGTAGAAAAAAATAAGAAAAAAATAAAAAGTTTTCAAAACATGATGTATTCATTCTTATAGGCAACGCTTAAATAAAAAATATATAAATATAAAGGTAAAGGAAGTGGGTGGAAAAAAAACTAGTAAATATAATAGACTGTAAGTCTATAAAGTACTTAAGGTTTTAAGTTTTCAATTATTATATAAATACTCAGACAAATAGACTTAACGTGATTCGCTAGTAATAGAGTTAAGCAAAATTGCATGATGGAAAACATTTTAAACTGACAGCAGTTAATCTTACTAGACTAGGAGTTTAAATTCTAACAAACACCAGCAAGAGCATAATGTTTGATGGAAAATAAAAGTTTTGGAGAAAACTATAATAACTTTTTAAATTGTCGGCCCTAGAAGCATTATAATAAAAAATGGCTTTTTTGGTGGGAAATGAAATTAATTATAAATACTTGTGTTTAATACAGCGCGTTTAAAGAAAAAATTGACTTTCTTCTACAAAAAACAACTAGCAAATAGTGTTTAATTGAAGTTCTTTTCTGCATTTTCGTTCTACTATGCATTTTCAGCAGAAAATAAAGACCTCTTTGGTTTATACATAAAAGATCCCTATTCTGTGGACTAGTCAATTAACTAGACTATTCCATTGATAATTTAATTGAATAGTCAATTAAGTATGGACTCGTCTATTGACTTGTTTATAAACTATTCTATTGACAATTCTATGGATTAGTTGATTGAATGTACTATGAAGTAGTCTATGCGGCAGTCTATGCTCTAGTCTATGGACTAATCTAAGAACCACTGAGGCAGTGTATGGTCTAGTCTAGTATATTGACATAACTGTGTACTAGTCTATGATACAGTCTATGGTCTAGTCTAAGGACTACTCTAAGAACCTGTCTATTCTATGAATTAAACTACTTAGTAGTTTATAGACTAGTATACTTAATAACTTATGGACTAGGCTATTTTCTTAACTATATATCTACTGACTATTCGATGGAATTATTCTATGGACTAATCTAAGAACCACTGACTAGTCTATTGACTAGACTATGGACAAGTCTATGAGGTAGTCTATGGTCTAGTCTATGCCCTACTCTAAGAACCACTGACTAGTCTTTTGATAAAACTATGGACTAATATATGAGGCAGTGTACGGTCTAGTCTATGGACTAATCTAAAAACCACTGACTAGTGTATTAACAAGACTACGGACTAGTCTATGAAGCAGAGTTTGGTCTAGTCTATGAACAACTGACTACTATACTGACTATTCTATTGATAAGACTGTGGACTAATATATGAGGCAGTGTACGGTCTAGTCTATGGACTAATCTAAAAACCACTGACTAGTGTATCGACAAGACTATGAACTAGTCTATGATACAGTCCATGGTCTAGACTAAGCACTACTCTTAGAACCTGACTATTCTATGAACCAAGCTATGGACTAGTTATTTAATAGTTTAGACTAATATAGACTAATATACTTAGCAATTGACGAACTGGGCTATTGGCTTAACTATAAACTACTCAACTGACTATTTGATGGTCTTATATATTGACTAGTCTATAGACTAATCTATAGAGTAGTCTATTGACTTTTTCTTGGACTATTTTGTTGATTAGACCCTGGATTACTATATTGACTATTCTATTAAGAGGTCTATCGGTTAATTCAATGATTAATTCTCTCTGAACAACATATTACTATAAAGATAAAATTGCTATTAAAGACAATTATAAAAACTATTTTTAAATATGAATTTTAAAAACATTAATCTTATTTAAAAATAAATAAATCCTTAACATTTTTCTGAGAATAATTCTACTTTTTCAAATAAATTGTATAAAAATGTACATGCAACCCTACCACTACAATAAAAATATATTGCTATTGACTTTTTAGTTGTAATTTAAATAAAAATAATAATATATTCCTTTTCCACTCAAGATGCAAACAATATGTTTAGATTATTTTAGGTTTTCTTGCAACGTATTTTTGTGGCAAAACAAAGAGAGAAAAAAATAGGAAAAACCAAAGAAAACCATTAAAATTGAAAGAATTGTATTGAGAGTATTCTGCAATGAATTTAAATGAAAATGACATTTAGCAACAATTCGTTGCAAGTAAGTAAAAGGACAAATCTATAAACAAAATTTCTTTAGCATACAAGAGTACAATTGTTATATTTTATATACAAAAAAACTGCATTTGTCAACACAAAAGTAGTGGAGAGAAAAAAAAAAAGAACTTACAGAATGCAACCACATAGCCTCACACATACATATGTACGAACCACTTTTTTGGGAACAAAAAGAAAACTATCAAAAAAATATAAAATACGAAAAAAAATTAAAATTTTTTTAACAAATAAAATAAAGAACAAGAAGAACACAGCGCAGCCCATAGTATGAACAATGTTCATAAAACTGAACTGAAAAGTTGGAGGAATCAGAAAAAACGAACTGAACAAAAATATATGTATGTAACTCCATATGTCTGGCTGCTATGTCTGTGGCAGTTGCATGTGTATATAAATTTAAAATAAATACAAACTTTATGTTTGTGTATAAAAGGATACATGTATGTACGGGTTTGTGGTACATTATTCAATATATAAATATTCTGTGTATGTATATTAAAGAAACACAAGTGTATAAACATACAAATATATTTTATAACATGTTTTGTACAAATGTATGTATATACGTTTATGTATGGATGGGGATTTAAATCTATGCAAAATTTCATTATATAAATACAGCCTGGGTAGACAGAAAAACAGACGTATGGACGGACGTTTATTCTAGTATGTATATAGAAATCTATATTAAATCTTGTATATGTGTGTATTCAGTTGTACCAAAAATTGAGATGCTCAAAATATAGATAAAGCTGGCCTACAATTTATATTGTGCAAAATTCCATTACAAAAAATTTTTTGTTAAACATTTACCACATTAAAATTGGATACATTAGGGAGATTCAGTTTTCAGTTGATATATATATATATAGGTGTCTTGAGAATATTAAATGGAAACCGAAATGAAGAATTGTATTTAAAATAATTTTATATTAATTTAAGTGAAATCCCTAAAGAAATTTCACAGATTCTCAGGGCAGGTGAAAAAATTTATAAAGGGAAAAGGTTTATATGCACGAACATTAAGCGATTTTTGGT